GCCGGGGGATGTCGGGCCTAGATATTAAGCTCAACATTATGTAATTTACTTATATAATAATCTTAATAAAGGATCACTAGCAAGGTTGCCAAAGTTCAAAAAAAAAAAAAAAAAATTTTCTAATTATTAAAATACTTTGATTAACATTTTCAAGATATTCAATATATTTTTGAATAATACTAATAAATTGATGAACTTGCATTATAAAAGGTTTCCAAGTAATACTACTAGCCCATGGTTGATCTAATGATTCCTTAATAGCATTAATATAAAGTTCTAACTTAGCTCATTCTAATTTTTTTTTTTGTGATGTGAGTCTTTTTTATAAAATTTATTATTTTTATATGGTATTAAATCTCTAATAAAATCAGGAAAGTATAAGCTATGATCAGTAAACTTAGAATGGTGTTCATCAATATACCAAATGAGTGTAGTAAGTTTATTTAAATATACTTCTCCTATAGTTGCTTCATTTCTATTAAACTATCCACAATCTATTTTATTTAAACTATTTATAAAATCATTAAATAATTGATTTTGCATATTATTGTTATCTTTTTGTAAAGAAAGTTTTTTTTTTGTGCACTATTCATTATTAAATCAAATACATTTTCATTATCACTAGATATATTTGATTGATTATTAGAAGCTTCAGCAAAATCACTAATAAAAAATCATATATAAGAAATATTTCGCAAATCTGGCTCACAAACATGTAAGCTGCCTTTTATTCCAGAAGCATGAAAATGATATTGATTACTTCCAGAACAATGAACCTCAACTTTAACTATTTCATTCAGGTTATATTTATTGTCAGCTAGACATAACAGATTACCAAATGTTTTACTACTATCAATTTCATATAGAGTCTCAGAAATAACTTTGGATGGTTTACAAAATTGTCGATTAACAGTGACAAACAAAAACAGCAACATTCTTGAATGCGTAGATTTGCAATTTTGACAATTATACTTATTTGTAAAATTGGCATACTTATTTTTCTGAAAATCATTACTTTATCAGCTAAATGTCGGAAAAATAAGTCTAAAAAAAATTCATAAGAGTATATATAGATACGATTAGCATGTTTGCATAACAGCAAATTCAATATAGATACTATTTTCAAATTAATGTAATAAATAAATTTTGTAAATCCTACAAAACTTCGCAATGATAGGTAGGATTCATTGGGTTCACAAAATTTATTCATTACAATAATTTAAAAATAGTAATGACAAGAATATAGTGAAACAAATTGGTGTTAAAACAAAATCTACCTAAAACTAGTTTTGGAAGTGTTTCAATCTGAAACTATCAAATTTTTCAAAAAAAATTGAATTTTAGAAACCCAAAACCCTGAAACACAAAAGATTATTTTATCAAATTAACTTTAGGATTAGAGTCATCTTAAATTAAAATTAGATAGGTTTTAGGTAGTAATATTTAAGCAAAATTTCCTTCCCTTTTAATTAATCTACCAAGGTTTTTATTTTTTAAAGTTTCTGCTTCTCATTCTTGTTTGCTTCGCTGAATAACATCAAACTCTTAATTTAATTGGTCAATTGTCATGTATTCTTCTTTGCTTTAGACAACACCCATATATAGAGTTATGTATATTCATCATCTACTTTTAAATTATATTAGTAATAATATACACGAAGTAACAAGTTGAATTTATATATTAAATTTGATTTTCTAAATAGCGATAATACTTATTTTTATTTTTTTTTCATATATTCATTTTACCAGAGAGACCAGAGGGCCATTGGAAAGAGGGGGTGATGTTAACCAAAAAATTAACTTCAAACAGCCTAATTACAGTATTATTAAACAAACCAATCTTTAAATTAAATCATCTAATGGTAAGTTTCTACCAACAGTAAAAGAAGATATAATTTCTTCTCTAAGGGCAGCACCAGCTGTATAGGAATTTTTAATAAAACTTATGATTGATTAACAGTTAGAATGAACCTTTCACATATGTGATAAATGACAGATACTACTAGAAATTAATTGTATATAATGCGCAATGCATCTGATAAATAAAATACGCAGATATTTCGCTATAATATATCATTTTGCTGTCATCATTGCTGACTCTGTATCAGAGACTACTGCAATGAATTTTTCAGGCCCAACTTTTTCTAATACTTTTAGTATTTTTTTTGTATTAAAATTTGCTGTATAAGAATATATAAACATATTGCTTTCTACTATCTGTCATTATAACAAATGCATATATGCTATATTTTATTGGACTGCACCAACTATCTATACATAATGTAAGATTTTCTGATTTTAATAATTCTTTTTCTATTTTTAGTATAATGTTTGCTGCTTCTATATCCAGAATTGATAATATTAATGTGGTTCATTTAGGCGAATTATATCTGGAATTCAATATTTTGGTGTAATCTTCAAAATATGGTGAATCAAATGCTGAAAATGAAATCCTGGAACACACTATCCATTTAATTAACACTTTATTTGCTCTAGTTTCTTTAGCTTTGTTGATATTTTCTTGTGGGTCATAATAAGCGTCAAGAGGTAATATAGAATTATTTGATTTTCTTTTTTTTACAGTAGATTTTCCATACTTATCATCATTTTGAATTTCTTGGAGTAGTTTAAATTGAATTTCTTTGGAACCTTGCCTTTATATTTTAATGCTAGATGGGCTTTCATTTCTTGAGCTCTTCCTCAAGACCATGATGTATTACAATATCTACAACATGCCTCTTTATGATTCTCCTTTCATTATTTATTGTATCATACTCATTTCAAATATCTTCTTAAGATCATCCTCCACAATATAATGAATTTATAGATTCAGTTTGCACAGATTGTACAGATTCTGATTCACTAGTTGAAACAGAATTATTTGAAATCCTATCAGCACTTGTATCTTCATTGTTCATAGTGTTCTCCTTATCATAAATTTTTTAAAGAAAAAAAAAAAAACAGTAATTCAAAAAAAAAAAAAATAAATAAAAAAAAATAATTTGAAAAAAAATGAAAATTTCACTAAAAGATAACGATAACAATGCCTATTAGCAAAAAAAAAGATTTTTAAAGAAAGAAAATGCAAAATTTCTTAAATTTAATGACAAAAAAAAGACAATTTAGTTATAAACGAACATATTTATATTTTAAAAATACAATTGATAAATGTTTTTAATGTATTGCAGATAAAGAAAATTACAATTAAGAAACAATGGTTATTAAATATATATCGATATACCTAAGAATTCATTTCTTATTTGATTTTCTTATTTATATTTGTTTAGCCTAGGATTATTTATCAATCGGTACACTCAAGATATGCTATTCATTTATTCATCAATCGGTATACTCAAGATATGTTATTCATTTACTGAGATTATTCATTAACCGGTATAATTAAGATATATTATTCATTTATTGCTCTTTTTAAATAGTTCAACTATTGGTAATTATAAATGCAAAGTAATAATCTTTCACTTCTAAACGCCATTGCAAGTAAGAACAATGAATGCAAAAATCAGAAGATAGTACAAAAAAATGGGATAGTGTAGGAAATCAAAGACAAATAAGGTTAATATATATCAATAGCATATGTATGAAATAAAGAATCAGACTATTCTGGTCAACACAGCACAGTTATTTTCTTTTCTAGCATGATTCTGCTATCTTTTATCTTTATTGTTTCTCTAAACCAATTATTATTGTTTATGGCATTTTGATTAATCAAAACATAGTCAAGTTGTAATTGATCGATTAGAAAAACTTAAATATATCTAATCATTAATAAATATCTATTGCTATATATTTACTTGATTATTAATAAGCACAATTATTATTCTTTAAAACTTTACGTACGGTGCAGGAAAGCTAAAACCTTAATCATCGTTATATGACTATATACAATTAAGATAAATATTAATTAAATGGTGAATTCTTTTTAAATCTTCAATTGAAAAAACTTATATAGAATAACTTATTAAAAATATATTAAATTTAGCAGTGGCTTATTTTAAAGCTTCAGCAGTATGCATAAATAGTTGCAATTTAGAATTCTAGATCCTTCACTTTATTAAAATTGTTAATTTAAGAAATTTACTTCCAATGTATTATAGGACTAGTTGGCGTATTATCTTTCTAAATAGAGATAGAGATTTTTAGATTTTTCACACTATATGTGGATCCTTTGAATTTTGCATAAACATGCAGAATTCATAAAAGTTATAGCCATAATTCTGTATGTTTTATCATTGTTTATTATGGCTTGCATATTGTAAGATCAAATTTGTAAATCACTATGTATACTCACTTAAACAATTATCCTGATTGCGCGATTATATACTTATTTATATAATTGTTATCAATTTAAGCTTTCACTTATTTTTAAAATAAGTAAATTTTGAAATCCTTCAATCTATACATATAGTTTACAAAAAAATAATTTAACTTGAGATTTGGGATAAAATTTGGGATTTAGCCAAAATTTGGGATTTGGCCAAAGTTTGAGATTTGGCTAAAATTTGGGATTTGAGATTTAGAATTGAGATTTGCCTAGTTTTGTCTTATGGAATATTTAGATATGATTAGAAAATCTTATTTTTTCAGATTTGTCTATAGAAAAATCTCAAATCTCAAATCTCAAACATTTGTCCAGCATGTATATTTATAACCTTAGTCTCACTAACTCGTATTGAGAGGTTGTAAAATCTAGTATAATGTATGAGTTATACAAAGCTCTAAGTAAAGCAGTTAAATAAATCTAAGAGATTAGAGGATACAGAAGCTCCAAGTAGAAAGGTAATACAGATCTTCAATAGTGCTATATAAAGAATTATTATTTGGGAAACCAGATACCAAAGGCAAACTGAATAAGAACTCAGTGTTTGGTAAGCACTACACCAACCAGGCTGCTGGATAATCAAAAGAAAAAGAATTCATTCAGAATACTAAAAGACATTTACTGGTTCTTTCTGAGCCATTTGGATTAGAAGTTTGAGGCACTAATAGTTGGCATCAAAGTATTGTTAATAATCTGTAAAGTGGGTGCTGAGGTTTTGGTGAACTTTGCAAGAGCAAGAAGTAGGTAATGGTACAGTGCGAAACACCTTAAACTAACAACTTTTTTTTAAAGTGGCCAAATTTAAGACAAAATACTAAATTTTGATTGGTTATTTTCTTAAAATTTTATTA